CTTCTCCAGCGAAAAAAGAAATTAACTACACATGAGGTCTGAATGTCAAAAAAAAATCTAAGCAAGATAATTGTGTGTTGTTTTTCAATAGCAAATTTAGTATGTTTTTGGAGGGTGTTTCAGAAGGGTAATAAGGGTGATTTTTATACTTTTTAAATATTCAGTATAGCCATCATAAACAACTGTTGTTTCACTAGAACGGCAGCGACTAGTCCTTGTCCTAGATGAATTTTAGGTGAAAATGAACTGTTGAATTTGTATCATCTAGACAACATTCAGAAAGATTTTTTTTGAATGGGCAAGTTAGTCGGGGAGGTGACTTAGTATTTACAAAGAGAAAAAAATTAAATTTTCTCGCAAAAAACTTTAACATGATGTTGGCAGTAATTTGTTAACTTGTTTTTGAAAAGAGTAGAATTGTCTTGAACTGCTTAGAGTACCGGGCAACATCAAGGGACAAGGGAAAAATCATTTAAAGTGCAAGTAGAAAACTTAGAGTTGCAATTGAGTTCTATGAGTGGTCATCAACTAGTCGTGGTGAACGATAAGAACCCTGACAGTTTAGATATCGCCCGGTGTTCACGAATATAGGTTGATTATAAATTGATACTTTTTTTTCGGCAACTAAAAACCAAAACTTGAAGCAACAGGACAAACCCCTACAAGTTCTATCTGTACTGATTATTTTATAAATAGCAATCCTATGACCATAAATAGCTCAAAAACATCTTTGAAAAATCTGTGTGCTTTTCTCATATCTATTGCAACTGTTCCCGATAGAATTATTTGGTTTTTGAGGGGGGGATTTAAAAAGTTTTTGTTAAGAAGAGGATGCTTCGAAACTCTTTTTGTTCTTGATCATCTTTTTAAAGAGGCTGAGCGGAAAAAATTGATGTTATGTGGACAATTTTGACAAAATAACGTTTGAAAACTTCAACTGCTTTTAACTAATTCATAAAATTTCAGGAAAGAATTGCAAGCCTTGTTTACCGCCAATACCATTAAATTGTGGTTGAAATTAGGATTTTTTTACGTGCAAAATTCTTTCACAGAAAAGAAGCTTTCAAAAACTCAAAATTTCTCGAAAATCATGACTGCAAGGAAAACACTCCAATTAAAAACAGAAATATCGCAATCATCTTTGTTCCAAGTGCTTGATGGTTTCTGCGGACCGGAGACGGTGTTTCAGAAAAATATTGAACCAAAATCTCTTTTGACGTTTTTTTGAGAACATAGCTGGACATCCGACTGAATTCATGCCATCAGCTGGTTCTTCCTGTCCATTCGTTCTTAAAAGGAATGGACGAGGATTTAATTAAAATTTTGCTTTGCTCAAACGAAAAGATTCATTTGGTTATGATAGCCCGTCAACTAGGAAGACAAAAGTTTTCGTGCACCAATCTTCTTTGTTTTTCTACTTATAATTGCAATGAAATTTTGTCAAATCGTATTTTACACTCTTTTTCAAAGTTGCAGAACTATTTGCTACTTTTTTTTAAAACAGAAGCAAAAAAAGCACAACATTTATTGACATATGAGCCTACATACAGTTTTTAGCAAAGTTTTTGAGTTATTATTCTATAGAAGGTTGTTATTCTTCATAAAAAACATAATACTGTTTTACCAGAACAAGTTTCTTTTCCTTCATTTTTTTGATACGCTTAATCATTCAGTTTTTTGGAACAGTTGGGCGCTTATGTTTTTCAAAGAAAACTCATTGAGACAATTTCAAATTATTTATCAAATAAATTACATCAAATAAATTGGGCAAGTTAGTCGGGGAGGTGACTTAGTATTTACAAAGAGAAAAAAATTAAATTTTCTCGCAAAAAACTTTAACATGATGTTGGCAGTAATTTGTTAACTTGTTTTTGAAAAGAGTAAAATTGTCTTGAACTGCTTAGAGTACCGGGCAACATCAAGGGACAAGGGAAAAATCATTTAAAGCGCAAGTAGAAAACTTAGAGTTGCAATTGAGTTCTATGAGTGGTCATTAACTAGTCGTGGTGAACGATAAGAACCCTGACAGTTTAGATATCGCCCGGTGTTCACGAATATAGGTTGATTACAAATTGATACTGTTTTTTTTCGGCAACTAAAAACCAAAACTTGAAGCAACAGGACAAACCCCTACAAGTTCTATCTGTACTGATTATTTTATAAATAGCAATCCTATGACCATAAATAGCTCAAAAACATCTTTGAAAAATCTGTGTGCTTTTCTCATATCTATTGCAACTGTTCCCGATAGAATTATTTGGTTTTTGAGGGGGGATTTTAAAAGTTTTTGTTAAGAAGAGGATGCTTCGAAACTCTTTTTGTTCTTGATCATCTTTTTAAAGAGGCTGAGCGGAAAAAATTGATGTTATGTGGACAATTTTGACAAAATAACGTTTGAAAACTTCAACTGCTTTTAACTAATTCATAAAATTTCAGGAAAGAATTGCAAGCCTTGTTTACGACCAATACCATTAAATTGTGGTTGAAATTAGGATTTTTTTACGTGCAAAATTCTTTCACAGAAAAGAAGCTTTCAAAAACTCAAAAATTCTCGAAAATCATGACTGCTCAAGGAAAATACTCCAATTAAAAACAGAAATATCGCAATCATCTTTGTTCCAAGTGCTTGATGGTTTCTGCGGACCGCAGACGGTGTTTCAGAAAAATATTGAACCAAAATCTCTTTTGACGTTTTTTTGAGAACATAGCTGGACATCCGACTGAATTCATGCCATCAGCTGGTTCTTCCTGTCCATTCGTTCTTAAAAGGAATGGACGAGGATTTAATTAAAATTTTGCTTTGCTCAAACGAAAAGATTCATCTGGTTATGATAGCCCGTCAACTAGGAAGACAAAATTTTTCGTGCACCAATCTTCTTCGTTTTTCTACTTATAATTGCAATGAAATTTTGTCAAATCGTATTTTACACTCTTTTTCAAAGTTGCAGAACTATTTGCTACTTTTTTTTAAAACAGAAGCAAAAAAAGCACAACATTTATTGACATATGAGCCTACATACAGTTTTTAGCAAAGTTTTTGAGTTATTATTCTATAGAAGGTTGTTATTCTTCATGAAAAACATAATACTGTTTTACCAGAACAAGTTTCTTTTCCTTCATTTTTTTGATACGCTTAATCATTCAGTTTTTTGGAACAGTTGGGCGCTTATGTTTTTCAAAGAAAACTCATTGAGACAATTTCAAATTATTTATCAAATAAATTACAAAATGCTTAACCTCAATGAAAACTCCCAGCGTACCTGAAAGTGCGTTTGTTGTGCCGCAAGGTTTAGTTCTTGGACCACTGTTTTTCTCATTTTATGTCAATGATATTTAGGAAACTAGTGGCGCAACCCGAATTGAGTTTTTTTAGGGACGATACTACCTATCTCGCTTGTTTTCAAACTAAGAGAAAAAACAACAACTTTAAAAATCAATTGAAGAAGAACGATGACTGATGCAGGTGAATTAAACTGTCAATCAGCTCCATTAAACGTAAAGTTTTACAAAATAGCAAGTCCTATTTGGATGCAGTTTTCTCTAGCAGGTGAAAAAGTCAAGCTTACTAATTGTTTCAAAATAGGTGGTCAAAATTACAATCAACTAAAATTTCCTGAACACCGTGCGCAGAAATTTAGCCAGATTCAAAGAAACTAAGTATAAGTGCAGGGTACTTTTGTTTAAAAAATTGTTGTTAAGGTTCTAATGGTTTCCTGGTCTATGTTAGCACGAAAAATCTAAAATCACTTAACAACTGCCAAAAACTTTAAGAAACATTTTTTTGAATAAGAATTTGATTATGTGGCTTTAAAGTTTAAAGAGCATGGGATCGAAACAGTTCTTGAAATCATTTTGTTCCAACTTTTTCATGGAAAAATTTTTTCATTATTCTTATTGTTCACCAATTGATTATCAGCAGTCAGAGAAAAATGCGGGTTAGCTGAAATGATAAGAATTTTTTTGATCGTTACTATATAATACTTGTGGAAATTTCCATCTCGTGCAAAACAGTGGAATGCTTCAATTTCTTGGTGTCTAGATAACTTTTAACCGATGAAATTGAATTGATTTCCAATAACCATTTTTCAAGGTTTTCTCCTAGCTCAAGAACAATCATACTATAGATAACAGTCAGCTGATCGACCCATTTTTCTGATTTTTTAATAAATAACTTTTTGTCGTTACTTAATTGAGGCAGTAATCCCAGAGAGTAGCTACTTGTTAGGCTGAACAGCCTGTTCTAGCTATCCTGATTCAGTTAAAGATTATTCTGTAATATGTTTTGTATCTAATGAGTTCAATATTGAACATTAAACTGGGGGCAATACATTCTTTTTCAGGAACATCGGTTTTTGTCATTATTCAGAAAAATCCCATTCAACAAAGCAATTAAACAGTATTGCAAACTTTTAGAGTCGGGTTGCGTTTGAACGGTAAAGTTCAAACATAATTTTAATCAGACGGACGAACTAATCGAAAATTTTCCGAGCCGAGTGGAGACGGTTGGATTATTTACAAGTTCTTCGAGACCATCGAGGCCAAGCAAGTCAATAGAGAAAGTCTTAACATAAAGTCATCACTTCGACCCAGGAGTTTTTTTCCAAAAATTTTGAGCATCTAATCAAATGCGAGTGGCCTGAAACTGTTTTTAAGGTGAGTCGGTCGCAGGCGCTAATCTATGTTCACTCCTTTCAAAGATCTTTTACGGCATGTCAGCGGAAAATTGGTGGCGTAAATTAGTACCACAGTGGGGTCGCTTTGGGTGGCCAGGGGGTCGATATCTTAAGGGGAAGTCCATCTGCCTCCTAAACCCACTACTGGTCGATTGGAAAATATTTTGTTCAAATACGATGAATCACTTTTTTACCATTTAATTTTACAGAAATGTTATAAGCTTTGCTTTGTAGATCGAAAGCTGCCTTAAGTTGAATTACGCCCAACTATAGTAGTGATCGTTTTTTGCCCCAGTGTACCAAAAATAGGTAATTATTTCTGTTCAGGTCACGTGAAAGCTGCTGAGCTAGAACGTGAAATGATCGAAGAGTTCAACTCGGTCTACAATTCTGAGATGGAACTGGCGAGGCTGGAGTCGGAGTTTAGAAGGAAGAGCAAATGGGCAGCTGTTAAACTTCAGTCGGCTTGGCGAGGTGTTTTAGTTAGGAAAGGGCTTGGACCATACAAGTACCTAAAGAAGAATAAGAAGCGAAAAGGACGAAAGGGAAGCAAGAGGAAAAAGTAAAGTCTTCGATCAAACTGGCTAAAAAAGCTCTTTGATAAAATTGGAAGAGAACAGGATTAATTTTGTATTTAGCCAAAAGGATAAACAATTATTGTTATCATTACTATACAAATAATTTTATTGAATAAAATTGTTAACCCGAGTCGAGGTCGGCGACTTATGTTGCGACCATTGCGACTCAAATCGGGTATGTTGCGACCATTGCAACCCAAAATGGGTATGTTGCGACTTTGCGCGACCGAAGAAAAATTATGCGACTTTGCGCGAACCAAATAAGGCATGTTGCGACTTTGCGCGACCCAAAACAGATATGTTGCGACTTTTCGCGACTCAAAATGGGTATGTTGTGACATTGTGCGACCCAAAACAGATATGTTGCGACTTTTCGCGACTCAAATTGGGTATGTTGCAACCCTTGCGACTCAAAATGAGTATGCTGCGACTTTGTGCGACCGAAACATTTGCGCTACTTTGCGCGACCCAAAACAGATATGTTGCGACTTCCCGGGTCGAGTTTTGAGATTTATGTTTTGATCGACTCGACCAAAAAATGGTATATTTCGACCGTCTCGACCCAGGCTCGATATGTTTCAACCGACTCGACCCAAGCTGTCTACGTTTCGACTATGTTCGACCAAAGAAAAATTTTTCGAATGAGTTCGACCGAGTTCAACCGAACAGTTTTTTCGACCGAGAAGATTTTCGACCAAGAATAATCAGTTCGACAGTGTTCGACCGAGAAAAAATGTTTCGACTGTGGTCGACCGAGGAAAGCCGTTTCGACCTTAAAGAATATTTAGGAGCAACGACTCATGAGATCTTGAATGAAAAGCCTCAATTATGGTATAATTTGATGGGGAGTAAGTACATTGCTGATTTGAGTTATCCGGACATAACGCATTAAACTAGAAATTAAAAACGCGGTTTTTCTCAAATTGGGTTGACTTTATGTAAAAAATGATGAAAACAAAATTAGTATAGAAAGTTAGCAGAATTTTATGGTGCAGTTTGTTTTGCGAAAATCGGGCCCAAGTTTCACCCCAAAAATTGATCATTTTTGGCTTTTTAGTCAATCAAAAATTACGCGAAAATTACTTGATCGATCACTGAGACTCCAAGCAAATTTGCTCTTCATACTTTTTACCTAAAGTAAACTCAAGTTGAAAAAAACGGATTCTAAACTTCTATTTTAACGCGTTTAGTCCGGATAATTTAATTCAGCCCAGTGTCATTTAACTGTCTTAACGGTTAACTAACGCGTAAATCAGACGTATATTTTTCCGTTACTTCTTTACTGCCCTGTAATCATTCGTCCGAAAATGGAGCAAAATAGTGGCTGCTTAGTTGATAACTATGAAATACTGTTAAGCCTTTGTAGACCATTTTTGGATTTTTTTTGTAGTTTTCTGCGTAAGAAAATTGCAAGATTATTGTTTTTAACTATTTAAAGTTGACCTTCACTTCCTAATCAGACCCCTGCCGATTGTTGTCTGTTCGAAGTCTATTAGACTTTGTGACACTTCTGCAGTTGAATAGAAAACACATAGTTTAGTTCCATTTGATCCAGTTTTTTTCTTTTAACTCTTGTTAGTAATTTTATATATCAGTGATATCACAACATTCTTTATTTAGGCACTCTTAATTTATTCGAATCAGCTGACAATCTTTGTTTTTTGAATCAAACCGCCCAACCAATTGATCACTAAATTGACCAATTTCAGTTAGCAATTAGAGCGAAGGAAAATCTTAGAGCAACTGAAAACAGTTTCGCAGTTAGCACTTACATGACATAACAGCCACAAATTTAGAAGAGGATACTGTTTCAACGCTGAAAGTCAAATTTATATTAGAGAAACACTACTTGTATCGATGATGACCATAAATTTTACATCGAGGATGATTATAAATTCTACTAGTGCGTTTACTGCACTTTTATTTCCTTCGCGCGAGAATGGAGCAAAAAACGATGAGGCACTTATGAGCCCTTGTAGATCTACATCGGTTTCTTTTGTTTTCGGCGTCAAAAAAGGTTGTGAAATATATGTTTTTTGTTAGTTGAACTACGCGGCTTCATTAGAAACCTGCCATTTGTGTTTCTGATCGAAGTCCATTCAACTTTGTGACAAATTAGTAACTGGAAAAGAAAACGTACCGCATCCAAGTTTATGCGTAAATAATCGATTATAACGGATTACTATGATGATTTTTTGACAATTATAATCGATTATAATTACTAAAATTAGGTCTTTAAGGGATTTATAATTGATTACAATCGTGATATTTTCCAAGAGATTATAATCTCTTACAATTGATTATTATTCTTACTAAAAACCCTTAAAATTAATTATAATTGATTAGAATCGATTATAATCGATTATAATCTCTTATTTTGCCGAAATTTTCCTTTATTCGAATTATATCTTATGGGTTATTATTTTTGTGTCAATAAGAAGATCTCTAAAAGAGAGATCTCTTGAACACTTTGGTTGATCTGAACACAAAGTTTTACCACGAAACAAAAGTTTCATAGAGATCCTTTCATAAGAGTGGAAAGGTTCTCGCGGTAGATGAAAAATAAATTATCCGAATTAATCATGAAACTAGATCAATTTGCTGATGTTTTGGTGTTTAAAAATGGTTAAAATATGCATCACAAAACAATTCTAATGGGGAAGAAATAAAAAAAAACTTATAAATTTGAATTAATTGGAAAACTTTTTAAAAAATTTTCTCATTTTCATAGGATCCAACGTCCCTAAAAAGCATAAAAAATGAGCAATTTAGATGCAACTTCGAAGAGAAAAATGGACAAACAAAAGGGATTATAGTCAATTAAAAACGATTATAATGGATTTTGTGCAAAACTAATGAAATAGAAATTTGAATTAAAAGAATGGATTATAATCAATTATAATCGATTATAATTGTATCGAAAAATAGACAAATAAATAATCGATTCTAATTGATTATAATGGATTATAATTAATTATATTTTGATTTAAAAAAAGAGAGATTAAAATCGATTATTAATTGATTAAAATCGATTGTTTCTCAAATTTAGTGAGACTGGTACTAAAATCGTATTAAATCGATTTTTAACGCTTGAAACTGGATGCGGGTATAGTTTTAATTCAACTGTTCTAATTGTTTTCTTCAACTCTTATTAGTCATTTGAAATATCAGTAGTATCACAACACTGTTTTTAAGGCACTGATAATTAATCTGAATCTGCTGGGAGTCCTGACTTTTCGAATCAAACCGCCGACCCATTGGATTAACTGGATTGAACAATTTCAGTTAGGATTTAGAGCAAAGAAATCTCTCGACTTTGACAATTTAAAAGAACCCTTGGTGTCGGAAAAAACATCATAATATTGCAAAAATCTTTTGATCCAAAAAAAAACAATCCAAAAAAGCAAAAAAGGCAAGATTTTTACATCGGGAAATTCTTTCGTGCGCGGAATTTCTCCTTTTTTGAATAAGTTTGCAATTAAATTTTTACAAACTTCTATTTGTCCGCGAGGTTCAGATAATGGTGATATAAAAATGGAAGTACTGAATTTTCTGGGTTAGCTTCATTTCGAATCATTTTTGTGTTGTAATACTGTTAATGTGTAATTTTCAATATGTCTTATTGGTTGATTCCAATTGCACAAACGTATTGGTTTGTTTGTGTAGCAATTTTTTTTTGTTTGCTTTTACTGATGCTGGTGATGTGGTTTCTGAATCTGTGAAATATAGTTGATCGTCTATTTGGTGATTTTTGTTTATTGAGTTTTTTAAATTATGAAGTTCGTGTTTTGCGGTTGTTTCTAATTCTGAGACTGCATTTCTTCGTTTTGAAAATCTTTTTCTAATGATTTGTTTTTCTTTCTTCATTAATTTTTTCTTAGTAATTGTCGTTTTGTTCTTATATTTTCTTCTGATTGTCTGTGTGGTGTGGTTACGAGGTCGTATTTCTCGTCGTTCATTAAACAATTGTGTTTTATGATTGTTTGTTTGTTTCCCAAGATATCTCTTGACATAAGGTTTAGGATGATGGATGCACAATCTCGATTAGTGATTGTAATGCCTTAAACTGTCAGTTCTTTCAATTTTTTGTGGTTAGCTTAACTTGGGTCGTATATTTGGGTTGGAGAGAAAAGCGTATATTGATTCCGCAGATTGATTTGTACTTTCTCGGTGACTAAATCTAAGCTAAGATGTTACCTACCTAATCTTTATTAGGGGTTGTGATTGTGATCAAAGGTTGGAGAATAAGAATATTAAATCGATCCACAAGTTTCAGGTATAATTAGAACGCAAGTAGTTCGTTAGATACTATTTTATGACTTACTAAATTTAATTGTTTTAGCCTGCGTCATCTAAGAGGAGTGCGATCAAGTGAAGAATGAGTAACCGAAGTTCTTCGCTGTTTAGCTTAACTAAAATGGTTAGTTTTTGAATTTTTTTTGTTAATTCTGGGTCTCTGATAAGGATTGGGTAGTGAATCGACAATTGAGGTCGTTAGACACTAATTAAATTGGGAGGGGGATAACAAAATTGTTCTATTTGATCCAAGGATAGGCCTTGATGATCAGAGATTTAAATAATTAGAATTTTACAAGTTTTGATCTAGTTTAATTTAAAGAGCCAAGGGAAGCCTTGATGATCTGTTATTTAAATGAAATTAGTTTAGGTGGAAGTAAGGATAAGCCTTGATAGTTTAAAATTAGAGCGTTAAGGTTAGGTGTTAGTTTTGATGATTGTTAGTTCTTGAAATTCGCTGTTATGTTTTACGTGATGAAGCTGGGACGATGAGATGGTTCATAAAAACTAACAATTTATGATTTTTACAAACTAATTTTTGGATCTTTATATTCAATAAAAAAATTTTCAAGATGTTATTTAATTTACAGCTGATTTAAGGAAAACGACAAGTGTTGTTTTTATCAGTCTTTATTGTACAATTAAGAGGTTTAGCGCCATGAAAGGTTGTTTGAAGATAGTTCTTCAAATTC